CTTGAATGCGCATAAAGGGAGCCCACTTTGCAGTGTAACGAATAGGGATACGTTCCAAGACCTCGACTGTCCGGACCCCCAGACTCATTTCTACCACTTTTACAAGACGGTTTTGGTACTTGCCGGCAGTAGACAGTACGCACACGCACGGGTTGGGGGTGAGTGTTTAGTTGGTGTGAAGAGAGGGTGGTGATGGACCAGGGAGAGGGGTAGGAGATGAGGTAGTGGGATGCTTAGAAGCCATAATGGGGATGGCAACTGCAGAAACGCGCGTCGCAGACAACGAGCGAGGAGCACAGATCCACACCGGAGACTCTGTTTCGGTGTATATCACTCCCACAATGCACTGCAGAAAGCAGGTGACTGTGGCTCCCAGCACACTGATCGCATCAGAGTGATTTTACCTCGCGTATAACAAATTTTTGGTATAAAAAGGGTCATCAGATATGAGCGAATTTGCACATACGGAACCTGCATAAGGTGAGGGAAGCCTGTATAAGCACATATACACATACATATGGATAGATAGAGATACAAATACGCGTACAAATGGACACACACACACACACTTACATAAAGGCGCATATGTATGTGTGTGCCTACACATGCATATGTATGCATGCATGTGTATTTGCCTAAATATTTCATATTGCTTTTTGTGTCAGAGTATCCAAAAAGCACTTTGCTAACAAGTCTCCTATAATAAAAACTTCTGCGCCCATGTTTCCTTTGGCTTTTCCCAGACATCTCAACATAGCATGCGTGTTACGTTGCCTGGGACCTTTCCTTTGACATTAACATAAGTGTTAAAAAAGAAATGTTCAGAATAATCCTTTATTTACAAGGGTGCTGCTACACATGCAAAGTGGGTTTATAGTAAACTTGATTTTGGAAAGTTTAGCAAATAAATGGTAAGCCCGTATTCTGTATAAGAAATGGCGAGCTGAGGCCTGAGGCTGGTAAGCAAATGAGGTATAAGGGGAAGCTCTTGAGCTTCTCTTAGCAGTGGTATAAGTGGCATCCTGGTTACTTTCCCTTCTTTAGTGCTGAATAATGTCTGTGAAGAGCCTTCCTTCCCCTTTGCCTGTGAGAGATTGAGCTCGCACATTCCCCTCGCAGTTCGAATCTGCCCTCGAGCACTGTGCTGCATGCAACTCTTGTTAAAATCAAGACGTTGAGAAGGCAAGCATCACCTTGAATATCTTAACATGCATTAAGGAAACTCTTCATATGAACAACACAATGGTGATAATTATAAAAGGAATTTTCTTCTGTAATTGAGAATCTTTTACGACCTGTTTCACTTTGTGAGATTTTTAGTGTGGAGTTAGGCACTCTTTTAGATAGGACCTTATATCTTGATGGGGCATTATCAGTACATCTGGGTAAAATGCATCTGTGTCTTATAATCTAGGTTGCTTGCACAAGTAAAGATAATGCATAATGTCTGCTGCCATCAAGGTTTCTGTGATATACCTTTGTTTTTAGAGTTTATTACCTAGCAATAAGACTTGTTTCTTTCAAATTTGGAAAGTAAGGTAGCAATTCAAGAATGTGTAGTGCCCCCCGCCCTTTTAAAAATCTGTTTAATAGCTCTAAAAGGGGTGGAAAGAATATTTAACTGGTTTTGAATTGAGCCTGTTTTGTGTGTTCACATGAAGACTGGGTTGATGCTGAGGTAGTAATTTGATTAGCTGCTCTTAAACTATTTTCAACAAAAAATATAAATGGCAACACTTTGCCTTCAGGATTCTGTATTTGTAATATGGGTAGAAAAGTGATTGTTTAAAAAAAAATGTAAATTAACACAGAAACAAAGGTTTCTGGCAAAGCAATTAGAAATATCTCTTTTGTGTAAGTTTTTATTAGAAATATGAAACCCAGGATGGGTTGTGCTGTGAATTTATAGCCCAAAAGAGTTTATACTATGAAAAACGTACTATTACACATAAGGGATGAGCAAGTTTAAGTTAATACCAGTATTACAGATAAAATGGTTGTGTAGTGGTTTCTGAAACAAATACTTTACAGCTTGCAAAAGAAATGAAATAACGTTAACACGTAGGTAAACTGAAGACACAAAAACAAAGAGCTCAGATCTATAAATAGCACTTTTGGGTTTCCTTTAAAAAGGCTGGAGGAATAAGTCTCGCACTGATAAAAATGCATGTTACTTTTCTGATGTATACTTTTGCTTTTTTGCTGTGCTTGCAAGTTAAAAATATTCAAAAGTGTCAAATTGTTCTTAATTGAATAATCATGGCAAAATGCATTTTTTGCCAGTGACTTGAATCTCTTTATTGTTATGTCAACAGAGGCCTGGATAAATAAGAATGTTATCCACAATTTTTCATTTTAGTTTTAGGGTTTTTTTTATTTTTAAATTAGTGGTATACAGTTACTTCAGGGTATGAGACCATATACACAGTAGTACTCATCCTGATACAACAAATGCCCTGTCCAGCTGAAGGCCAACTGCCTCCAGTCACCTAGGAAAAAGGTAAATCTTTTGTAATCTTGTTTCCTGGAAGTTATTGCACATATCAGTTAATAATTTTAAAATAAAATAAGCAGCCATTTTAAACTCCCATGGTTGTTATGAATTATTCAATGTTTTTCAAAATTTTAGTTTGTCAGTCAGACTAATCTTAAAGGAAATTCTTTTGCTAGAAAAGCTAAGCCTGTTTGGCACACTTAAAAACAAATTTTCTCTGTAGTTATGGGTGTAAGAATCTTATTTAAACCAGCAGATTTTGTACAGGCACATTCATGGACAGAATTTGATTTTGAATTTCTGAGTTGAAGGGGGTCATTTTTGCTACAAAGGAATTAATTACTGAATGAGAAAAAGAAAAGAAAAGCACAAATGTGAAATGTGAGCGAATCCAAAATAAAAACACGTAGCTTTATACGTAGGTATATATTTGATGTAATATTATTTCTGTCAAAACAAAAGGGTTTGTTTTTTTCATTTTTCATTTTGCTACACTATTGCCAACTCATTATCACATGTTTTTGAAAGTGACCCAAAAAAAAATCTTTTTGTGATATAATTTCCCACCATTCTTCTGCTGTCCTTCTAAATGAGATCTGGCAAGTAGGAAGGTATTTAAAGAATTAAAGAATTCTAACATTTTCTAACATTTGTCTTTTCCTCCTTCACAAGCCAGCCCTTTTTGCTCTTTTGGAATGAAGTTATCTTATTTTGGTTTCTCTTTAGAAGAATATGACGTGGTTTTTGTTTTTTTTTTAATTTAATGCATTAAGGACTCTTTATTGCCACTGCAAAAGGGTGTGACTCATTTATCCAGATTGGTACATTTTTTTGTGCAAATCGGCAAGATCTAGAATCCTATTACTCTTATTGTGAGTATGCGTCACTAACTTAGTGAACTGTAGTTGGAAACAGAATTAAATGAAACTGTTGAAAAGAACAAGTAATAGGTACAGGATTTGTGTTCTCCTTTCCGTTGATCTTATGTGAAATATGACATGCCAAATACATGCAGGCTTTTTAAGTTGCAACAAAGAAAATTTGTGTTGATAATACTAAAATGAGAACTACAGTGCATCTTCATTGGCAATATTTTTTTTTCAGGCAGATGTGTACAAAGTCGGCACTATTCTTCAATTTGGTGTTAAAATATGGAGGGGTGTTGGGAAGCAGAAGGCTTAGGACACTCATAAGCATGAGTTGGGCTATGCAGATTTCACCAAGAAGTTGCAGCCATTGCAGCTCAGTCCAGCTGTTTTGCATCTCTTGTCCTTCTAGCTGTGGACTGCAGTGAGCAGAAGTTCTGTAGAGTATGGTAGTCTTCCTAATATAAAAACAGTCTGGGAGAGGAGGAGGCTGAGAAGGCCGTATTTGTTGCACTTGTGACCATAATAATTCTGAGATCCAGATTTTAGGAGTTGAAAGGCAATAAACAAGTATGCTATTTAGAGACTGAGCACCATGTTTGTATTACATTGCGTTTGTAGGAGGCGTAAACATAAATGGCCCCGCTAAACTTAACATGGGGCCCAAAAAGCATGCACCCATGGGTGTTTGGTATTTTCAACCTTGACCTTGCAAAGCGATGCAAATGGGACGATTCCTTTGCAAAACCTTACTGAATTTGATCCGTTCATGTGAATCTAATTCCTAGATTAGAACCTTTGTGGTATTATATTTAAAATGTTATCTGTAAAGCATAAAAAGTGCATGAATTATGGTATGAATTAAGTTGCTTTCCTTGGGATAAGAAAAGCTGCTTTCATGCAGATATTAAGAACTAGTATAAGATTGCCGAGAACGACCATGGGTCTCAGATGTTTCCTTTATAGTATATTAGTCACAAAGATTCAGTTCTAAAATTTTATTCATAACTATTCGACCAGCCAGTTTATCTGTGTAATGCCTAACGTGGTTATATTTTATCTTCTCATCTCAGAAGGACATTTACTCATCTTCAGCATTACAAATATGAACATTTTAAATTCAAAACCTGTTAGCTATTACAGATGCTAGCCCTGTGGGGTGTATGTGGGTGTTTCTTCCCCTTTCTCTTTTTGTTACCTCCAGAGGAGTTTGTAGATTGGATTTTATTGTATGCCAAGTTAGGGCTCTCAACACTATGCTTCTGGAATAAATAAAAAGAAAAAATGGGCTGGGAGATGCAGAGAGACAATATTGCATGAGTATTTCCCCCAGAGCTCTAATGACTGTTGTACTTTGTATATTTTTCATTTATTCTCTTCCCTTTCCTCTCCAAGCCTTTAAATTAGTTTGATTTTTCTAACTTCTTGCTTTCAGGACTATTACATGGCTTGCTGTCATGTTTCTCATAAACACTCAGAGCACTACTGCATCTGCAGAATGCATGCTTGCTTAGATATTCTAGTTCTGTGTATGCGGTTAAGTTTTTCTGGTGTTTTATGCAAAGTAACTTAAACAAGTACAGCTTCAATTGTTTTACACTTGAAATTTATATCACTGTTGCACCTTTTCTTTTCCGTAGCATTTGTGAGGATTGAATTGGCATAGGCCATTTTAAAATCATGACAAGCTCAGTGGGACAGAAGAAAGTGTCTTCAAGACAACGCAAGTGTGGTTTTTGTAAGTCTAATAAAGATAATGAATGTGGACAATTATTGATGTCAGAAAACCAGAAGGTGGCAGCACATCATAAATGTATGGTAAGTACCCCATAGGAAAAAAGCAACTTGGCAGTCTTCGATTAGTGTAAGTCGTATAGACTTAACCCAATAGCTAAATTATATCAGCTTACTTTAGTGTCAGTGTAAATCAGTATCACTGTTGACTTTTATTGTAATATCGTGCCTTTTACCCATGTAATGGTATTTTATATTATTGTAAACTTTAACAATTAAGTTTTGTTTTTATATAACTTGTAGCTGTTTTCATCTGCATTGGTATCTTCACACTCTGATAATGAGAGTCTTGGTGGCTTTTCTATTGAAGATGTTCAAAAGGAAATAAAAAGAGGCATGAAGCTGGTAAGTCTATACCTTTGCATCTTCAAAGTGGGAAAGTGGGTTTTTTTTAATATCTACAAAGCTCATCAGGAAGTAACGATACCATCAGCTTTTAAAAAAAATAAATAAACTTTTCCCTTTTTCTGTTAGCACAAAGATAGCGAGTAGGTAATTATCTACCATATGGAAGGAATTACTGTATTAGATAAAACTGGTCACACAGTTTTTTGTTTTGTTTTTTTAAATATTAATTATGCTCAATGGAAGCATGATCGTGCTTCTGTTGAAATGAAATCAAATCCAAAATGTCAAATAACTAATAGTGGGGAAACTGTTTAAAGTATATATAAACATAGTAATCAGTCAGTTGATTTTACTTTCAGTTTATCTATTCCCACACTAAACAGATTATTTGGGGGATGCTAGGTTAATTTTGGAATTAGTCAAATGCAGATGTTACTGTTTTTACTATCGCTTTTCTTTTATCATGAGTATTTAGCATAGTTTTTCTAAGCAAGTTAAAATCTCCTAGACAAACTAAGCTGCTTGTTCCTTTTAACAGGCAGCAAGCAATGAAAAATCAGCATTTTTCAAAATTATATTTTCTAATCCAGTAGTTTCTACTTAATATTTTCTGACAGATTTCACAATGAAAGCCACATTCCAGGGAGCTGTGCAAGTGTAACGCTGCTCCTTTACCAGCATTTGGTTTCACTGCCAAAATCTGACTTAACTGCCAAAACGCTCTAGTGCTTCCATTTTTAATGATTTAATAGAGCTTTGTGGATGCAGATTCATTATGAGATGCACATATACAAAACTAGTGTCATGTTTGCCAAACTCCATGGGATTGCACAATAAGAATTGTTGGGCTGTTTTGGTTTTGGTTTTTTGGTTTATTTTGCAAGGTAATAATTAGTTTGAGGCTTTCCGTAGTTTTAGTTTAAGTGCTGGTTATAATTTTTTCTTTCCTATTTGGGAGATTGAATTTGCAAATAATTACTAACAAATGATACAGTATAAATAATACAGTTCATGCATTGAATTCTTTCAATTTAGCTTGGTGGAAAAGGTTATCTACACAGTAGCCTCATTTGGAGGCCAAACTGGCACATCCTGTGACATCTTTTTGCACTTGCATCATTACTAAGCACTCTACTATTTCACCTGGAAATCTTATCCTGTATGGGGGGCTCTTGTTTTATCTGATACGATGAATCTACTGAGATGCAACAACTGGAGACTATGAGTGTGCTTGGAGATTAGCTACTTGTAAAGGAAACACTAACATACAGATAGACCAGCAAGAAACTTTTTTGATAGTCACATGTCTTTAAATGCTCTTAGGAGATTTGTGTGTGTGGGATTTGGGAGAATATGTGCTTTTGAATCTTTTTGTGTTAGAGGGTAGATTATTAAAGTTCACTAGCTATAGATATCAGGCTTTTCAACTAGGCACAGGTTTTATACGAACATTTTAAATATTTTTTCCTGATAGGTTTGGATGGCTACTGTTTTCATATATTTTGCACTTAGTATATGCTTTCCAGTCTAGCTTGTATCTTTTTAAAGCTTTTTTAAGCTCGGTATGGTGTTTCAGATCTAGTAGTTGTATTGATAGTGGTTATAGCCTGTCTGTTGACAGTCACGTTGTATATAGTCATTTTCTGTTGGTGGGTATTATTTAGTGAATATGTATTGAGAACTAGATCTGCAGATTAAAGCAACAATGGCCAAAATGCAGTGTTTTTGGTGACAGATGTCTAGCTGAGAAGAGTTGATGAGTTGAACCATGACAACAGTCCAGTAATGCCAGCTTGTTCTACAGTCCCAGGAAATGAATTGCAGTGAGAGTATTGGTGCTTTTATAAGTCGTGAATAAAGTGGTGGCAACATTTAATTGGTACTGCTCTCCTTCATTGTCCCCCACCAAATTTCTGTGTTCTTCAGGAGCCCTGTGGGTCAGATCTGACCTGCAGGGTTGGGGGGCTGAGCATTTCTGGTCTAGAAAATCAATCAGATGACATGGGCCTATTGAATAGTAGAAGTCACTCCACTGAATCTCAGATTTGATGTTAAAATAGAACACACTATATAATTAAGTCCATATAAAGATTTTTCCAGTCAGCTATTTCACTAGAGACTTCACAGTTTATACAGAAGTAAATTGTGCTTCTAACCTACCAAAATATTTAAAGAATTAAAATAGAGGATAAAAGGAAACTGATGGATATCATTTAACCTTAAAATAAACTTGGTAAAATCACTTTCAAGATGTTTTGGAAACTTGATCTACACAGGGTTGGGTAAACACCTACAGTAGATTTAAAAACTAATTAGGAGTAAGGAAACAACACTAGTTCTCAGTTTTTTAGAGAAGTGGCTAATGGATGAAAGTAGGCTCAGTCCTTTTGTTATTCAGTTAATTCTGCTAAGTTGTGAAGAGCAAAGTAAATTTCTGGGAAAACGGTTTACAAAAATCTGTTTGGAATTGATTTAAGTTAGTTGAGACTAAAATGAATTCTGAGAATCTTACTAAGCTCTCAAGAGTTATGTAGCAGGATAGATGGGTAACTTTATTCAGTATAGACATATGTGGGGAATAATTGCAGCCTCTCCTACATACTGATGGGTTTTGAATTAATTATAACCTTGCAGAGAAAAAATAGATACAAACACTCAACTCAAAAAAGAGACTCATTAGAAATTGTCAGAAAGCTAGTTAAGCTTTTGGACAGTATGAAGAGGCTGGAAAATAATATGGAAAATATTAATGCCATTTTATCAAATTATTTCCTCTCTCTAACATACAGCGTGGAAAAGGACAATTAAAAGTTTAGAAAGATGATAGGTAATATCTCCCAAATGAGAAATGCCTGTTTTTGGAAGAGGAAAAATAAATCAGTAGTTTTCTGTTTAGCCCTTTCTGTAATATAAAAACAAACAAGAAGAGGAATTGATACAAATAACGAGATGCGTTCCCTTTATGTAGCATGCAGTTCATTAAATTCATGAAATCCGATAGAGGTAACTTACTATAAAAAGAATTAGTTATAGGGGGAAGGAGGGTGGGGAGAAAAGAAAAGCAGCTGCGTTTAACTAAGGTATAATTGCAAGCACTCAGTCATTCTGCTTCAGGCAATAAGCTGATTGCCAGCCAAAGTCAGGAAGGAAGTAGTTTCTTTTCCCTCTTGTTTCCATGGTGTAGCCCACACCTGACCAGGTGCAGTCTGAGATTTTGCTGCTTTTTGACCATTTTGGAGGCCCGACATTTAAGTGAACAATTAAGTCTTTCCCACTATGCCACTTCTTATTCAGCTAAAGGTTATTGAATTATTTTCTCAACTTGATTAATAAATGTGATAGTATCAAATGATTATCATGCTGTTGTATTTTATAATCGTGTCACATTTTTGTTCCTCTTAAAATTAATCAAAATGACACTTCATGGGAAGAATTGGGTATGACTAAATGCTTTGCATTCAGTAACTCCATCTGTTTTATAGGAAGGGGAGTTGTTGTATGCCAGCTGACTGTTTTCAGAGCCAAAAGTTTTAAGCAAATGCTAACATGAATTCTTTTCCCCCCTCTCTCTCTCTACCATAGATGTGTTCTTTATGCCATTGTCCAGGAGCAACCATTGGTTGTGATGTGAAAACATGTCACAAGACATATCACTACTACTGTGCATTGCATGATAGAGCTCAGATAAGAGAGAAACCCTCACAAGGCATTTACATGTAACTACCATTTATTTATCATGTGTCTTCTATAGTTACATTTCACCCTCTTTGTAAAAATGCCATTAGAATCTAAACATTATGAGTATTACAAAAAATGTTTTAAGGGTGCCTAGGGTGTTTAATTTATCACAGCATTAGCTGAGCGTACCTTTTAACTGCAGAATTATTGGGGGTGGGGGTGGTATCTTAAAATACAATGAAGTGTGCCACTATTTAATTTAAAGATGAGCAAATGAGTTATGAATCATGGCTTATTTGACAATTTTCAACTGTTTTGTTTATAGGATACTATGCCGAAAACACAAGAAAGCTACACACAACTCTGAAGGTAAAGCTGTTCACTATAAACTGTTCCCACTCTAGATAGGCATTTTGGTTAAACTGTAACTTTTTCTGGAAAGTATAAATGTTTTCACTAAATTAGAACTAGGTTTAGAGGTGTTTTCTGAAACAGGGAATTTAGAAGCTAAATACATAGAATATTTGGGTATTGCATAAAGTCACTGAAAGAGAGCCAACAGGAAAAAAAACTTTTCTGGGATATTTTTGAGTTCTGATTTTCCATGAAAACAAAGGGTATGTGGAAGTAATGTTCCTGCTTTAGCAAAAGACATTTATTTCTAGGAGGAAGCTAATTTGTGTGTGCAGTTAGGTGTTCCACATCTTAAGTTTGTTAATTCCATCAAGCAGTAGCTCCATAATCTTTCATTTGTAATGAAATCCTGTAGAAAGATGATGTCTCTTTTGACATGTTGTACACAAAGGTAATTTTCTTGTTATGATAAATACTCCAAATAGTCTTGTTAGAAGAGAAATTTAGCATTACCTGTAAACGGTTATGGTAGATTAACCTCAGATTTACTTTGTATGTTTTTTTCTGACCGAGTTGATTTAAAAAAAAAAAAAAAAATAGTAGTCATGGGCATGCACTCAGACAAGCTTCCATAAGTGGGGGAAGAGTATTGAAACGTGAGTTGTTGGGCAGCGTGTTAATAATAGCATGTTATTTGGTCTCGTAATACTGAAAAATCAGTTATGCGGCACTTCAGGATTTGTTTCCATTTTTTGCTTGTATTTGAATTTGGTAAGTAAGAAGAAATTAGTTTAACTTTGAATCTGTTTAAGTGAAACAGTGAAGAAATGGATGATGTCTTTTAGTGAAGACTGAGATTGATTATAATTATTCATAATGCAGTTTCTGCCAAATGCATTTTGTTCATCTAACCAATCCATATTATTTGTGCTACGTCTAATAAAAATTACATTAATGATACGGATTATATTTTAAATCTTCTAAATCTTTTTATGTTTAAATCAAACTCCATGCTAAAACTGGATTCTTAGCTTGTCCATTTATACCTGTATATCATTCTGCATACTGCATGTACCTCTCTGACTCCTGCAGTTAGTAAGTCCTTGTAAAAGGGCACTAGAAAACAGCACAGAGTTTGCATTTATGCTGCCTGTATTTAATATAGACTGGGCCCAGATCCTTTAATGTAGTTTGACTTTATATATATATATAAGGTCAAACTACATTAAAGGATAAAAAATAAATAAATAAACAGTAATGAAACGTGGCTGCAGTGTCTCATGGAAGGATAGTGAGGTCTAAGAGAGTCTCCTAAGTAAATAGTTATTTTAGAGAATACATTACTTGTATTCACCATGGGCTTAGTCATTGACATCCACTGGAAAATAATGTTTCTGATTCTGTAAGAGGCTTAATGCATCTGGACCTTTGCTCCTTCCTGGAGTTCATTGCAGGATCAGGGCCTTTTTTTTTTTTTTTATTTGAGAGCGTGAAAGAGCTGTTACTGCCTATTATGTCATGGCCTAGCCTCTAGCATGAGGGGCTGTTAGTTTTAGTAGGGCCGTATCTGTTGGAGTGGCCATGGAGAAATTACTGCAAATGTGCAGCAATGCTTCTTTTAAGTATTAATAATGACTACATTTTAAAACACTGAAGTTGTGTCAGCTGGCGAGACTAATAGACTGAAAAAATGCATCTAAATGGCACAGCTACCTGAGTTGTATAGGGCAAAAAGCCCTACAGTACCTAGTTGGCAATTTCATTTTCCACTCCATTCAGTTTAAAATATTCGTTTTGTTTGTAATAGCCTTTTGCTGAGGGCTTGCGCCAATACTCTTGCCATAACATGTTCTCTTTCTACCAGGGGCACAAGCTTAGATATCAGAAGACTCAGGCCTCTGGGGACCTTGTGCTATATTGACAGAGCAGTATTACTGTTTAACATTTGTGTGGTAGTGAGGGTCCCATTGCGGTAGGACTTCAACAGCTATAACCACATGCACTTAGTCTCTGGAGAAATGCCTGTGTTGAAGCGGCAACATTTGAAAATGCTACAAGATCCTTACATCTTGGGAAATGTGCCGTATCTTTAAAGCAGAAAAATGTCAGGTAGACATCAGGGGCTCTAAGAGGAGGCTTAGAACATCTCCTGTTGTTAATTACTATTTAAATATGGGAAATGTGCTCAGGACTAAAACAGGCATAAGCTTGAGCCTGTTACCAAAAAGCAAAGCACAATGAGGAGCTTGGAAGAGGGTGTTTTTGTATATTTTATTGGCTTGTTTCTGGTGGAAAAAATGAGTATCCAAGAAGGACATGAGTGTGGAGAAGGGTGGTGGTTTGGCACACTAGACAAGACATGTGGAGAAGAATAAACAAATTAGACTGAACTACCAGATGCTACTTCAATTGCTTTTTCTTTATTATTTTATTTTCATGAATCCCCACTCTCTGTTGTTTGCATACTAGAATAGTGAAGGCTAATCTGTGGTCACATGCCTCAGCCATTATGCACAGTGGTACTTAAGCTGTCAGTCCTGTGTGAAGAAAGTAGACCAACCTGCTCTGGATTGCTGTTTATCTCTGACCAGTTTGGAGCAGTATGGTCTTGTACACAATTCTCTCTACCCTACTCTAAGTGCAGTAGCTCACATATTTTTGTTTTAGTGCTTTGATCGTGTCTGGCTGAAAAATATTTTTTTCAGAATTAATAGTTTCTCATTTGTTTTGATCATGTCATAGCCATAATCATAGGGATCTAAAGTTTCTGAACAAAGCTGTCACAATGTCCAGGACCCGTATTTATTTATTCTTCCTTCATTCTCTAGAAAATGGGTAGTTTCTGAATTTCTTGTTAAAATATGTGTCTGTAATTCTGATCTAGGAATTCTGGTACAGGCCTAAAGGAAAGGTTATTCTCCTTTTTACTAAGAGAAGGATGCTGCTCAAGGACTTAAATTAATGATAAAATTGCAGAGCTAAAATTCTGTTTAACCTAGTGAAAATGCATCCCTTAACCAATCGGGGCTCATAGTAGAGGGTGATATCTTTTATTAGACCAACAAGATTTTTGCAAAAAGAATTCTTTAATTGCAAGCTTTTGGGCACAAACACCCCTCATCAGGCACTGGAGAAAAAATTGTAAAAGTCCTCCTGGGTAGAAATGAAAGTTCATATTTCATAGGATCTCACAGAGGAGTCAAAAGATGGAAAACTTACTCCTCTGGGAGAAATGATGAAGATTTCATTTAAAAAATCAGCTAAAATTCGATATCATCTATGTGTCAGATATCCAGGTTGTAGCTGTATTGGTCTAGAGGGAAAAGCAATTGGGGCTTGTAGTAAAGGTGGTTATCTTTTATTAGACCAACAAGATTTTCGCAAAAAAATGTTAGCTGATTTTTTAAAATGAAAACTTCATCATTTCCCAAGCAGGAAGCAATTTTGACCACCTGTAACCTGCCTTTGCTCAAGGTAAGTTGCATCACCACAAAGCCTCACAAGAGATCTGAGAGACACCTATCAGCTAAGAACTGTCTGCCCAGAGGAGTGAGTTTTCCATCTTTTGACTCCTCTTGTGAAATCCTATGAAATATGAACTTTCATTTCTACCCAAGGGAACTTTTACAATCTTCTCTCTTAACCAAAGCTCTCTGGAAGCCCAGGACAGGCAAGAATTTGTTAGACTGCATGCTTCCTTATGCACTAAGACAAATACCTGAGTAATTCAGGTTCTCATTTCTTTAATGGCTGGAAGAAGTTGCTGAAGTTTTGTCTGTTTATTGTTGAATGTAATATGTTTCAGTTGGAGCACAAGAAACCACATTTGTTAATTCTCTGTTTCAATTGATCATTGGCTGCCTTTCATATTTCTTTGTAGTCTAGCTTTCATAAACATGGGAGTCTTAGAGTAGTCGATAGTCTTTTGGTTTCATTGAGTAATCCTAATCAAACCTAAGTGGTGTACATAACATGTGCCTCTGGTAATATAACAAACTGGAGGGTTAATTAGTTAAAGCATAGGCATACAGACTAAGCTGGAGTCATGTTCTCTTTCTTGGAGAGCCTAGAAATAGTGAAAGATGAGGCACTTATGATTTGGTCTATGTTGCAGTTTTCAATTAATTTGGTAGATGACTGTTCAGAGAAGTGAATTGAAAGGTCCTCAAAACAGCCTTTCCCCCTGGAAATCTGTGAACTCTTTGAGTTGTCATCACCCACCATAATCTAGAAGTTGCTGTTACTTTCACTGTGTGCGCGACTTTGTTTGATCAGGGCATTTCATTACTTGAATGGCTGTTTTCCTGACAGACTCTCATTTACATTCTGGGAAGTGTGTGGCCATGTTTTCATCACGTACCTCTTAGGTGCAGTTTTTTGTATGGTATTGTTAAAAGAGTTATTTACCATTTTAGTGTCTTCTGTTTGAGGCTCCCAAAGTGTTTTACAAATATTGGCAAATCAGAACTCTCAACATTCATGCCAGCTGGGTAACACGCACATTCTACAATTGGAGAAACTAAGGAACCAGAGTTGGTGACTTGTTGAGGTCACTCAGTAATTCGGTATCCAGGCCAGGAACAGAAACAAAATTGCAGTTACCAATATGCGCTTTTCCCATTGGGCAGTTTGGGGGTCTTCAAGCCTCAGACCTTTATTGTCCTAACAGATGAGTTGTTACCAATATTATGCTTCTCCACAGTTCAGTGTGAACCAGCAGTCTGACCTTTGCGCCAATGGAGACTGACAAGGTTGCCCCTTGCCTGATGTCCTCCGCCATTGTGGCAACCTGCTTCTAGAGCCAATTAAAAGTTTCAGAGCAGTTAGCTTCAGTGGTATTCAGAGCATCAGGTCTTTGTATTTGACTCTCATTGTGTTTACTGATGCAGTAGATTCACAGGCATTGTTGCCACCCACTCTTCCAAAAAATACCTGGTCTTGCAAGAAATTTTAACAAGACTGCTCCAGCGCACACAGGTTCTGTATTATAAACCCTTCCAGCCCAAAGCTCAGTG